TTTCATCACAGTAATAGTAACCCTGACCAAGACACGGGGCTTAGGCTGTGGCCCAGGCTAGACTGGAACTCACTATGTAGACCAAGCTGGCCTTGTACTCATAGCAATCCTACTGTCTCAGTGCTGAGATTACAGGCTTAGTCTTAGTCTTATCAAGGGACCACTAAGTCCAGGCTACAGAGATGCCAGGTCTGGCTTTGATATCCTGGAACTGACTCCGAACCCAAGCATGTGAGAGATGACACAGAGAAAAGAGCCTTGGGCCCAGTATCTGGGGCAGTCGAGAGGATTGTAGTGGGGGAAATTCTAGGAGAGGTGTCGCATGGGCAGGACCATGCGCATGTTGGGACTAGCTGGACATCAGACAGGTGTCTGTGGAGTCAGGGGAAATGCTTCCAGAGTGTCTAAGAGGGGTGAACGGGGACTTCCGTGAAACCCTCTGGCCCTACAGTGTGTAGAGAAAGCTAGAGGGCAGGACCATCTGCCCACACAGGCTAGGATGCCCGCTCAGAACCCGAGTCCCAGCATCTCAGGACTTCAGAACACATTCTCGACACGACAGCGGTTGGTGTTTCGGGAGACTGACCTGAACAAGCAACACATTTCAGATGGGATTTGAGCCACATTAAGTTCAGACTCAGTTTCCAAGTATTATCTCCTATCAGGAGAAAACAAAGGTACAAGGTTGCATCGTCACAGACTATCTAACACCAGACCCAAGAAGACACAGCTACACCAAAGCCAAGGTCGCCCTCACTTACTTCTCTGAGGTGATTATGGGCATGTCTGTGGGCACACCTGGAACAGAAAGACGTTCTATTAGTTCCAGACAGACTTCCTTGGAGGGAACAAAACCCACTAAAAAGACAGATAATTTCAAGATCCAGTCACACAGCTGGACGGTGACATGTACTGGCCACAGCCGGCTTGTTCTGACTGCGGCCCTGCCCTGCACCCACATCCTCCTGCCGGCTCGGACGGGCCCTCAGAGCCTCAGCCCCAGCTCAGAAGCAGATTCATGAGGGGGCAGGTCGTCTGTTGGAGTGCTTGGGCCCTGTGTGCGACAGAGCAGGAAGGGCTGGAGAGACCCTTGATGGAGGTGTGGTTTGGGGTACTGGGGGGTCCAGCTCTACTGCTGGTGCCAGGGAGGACAAGTCCTTCCTTCTAGAGCTTTCAGGCCTGGACCCCCTCATTTTGGCTTCTGGAAAGCTGTCTCCCTTCTCAAATTCAGCACTGTGGCGGTCTGAATGAGAATGGTCCCTGTAGGCTCACAGATTTAAATATTTGGTCCCCAGGGAGTGGCACTATTTGAAAGGATTAGGGGGTGTGGCAGAGGAAGTGTGCCACTCACTGGCTTTGAGGTTTCAAAAAGCCTATTCCAAGACCAGAGTCTCTCTCTTCCTGCTGCCTGTGAATCCTGATGTAGAACTGTCTGTCAGCTCCTCTCCAGCACCAGGTCTGCCAGCATGCTCCCCGCCATGATGACATTGGACCAAATCTCTGACCTGTAAGCCAGCCCCATTTCAATGCTTTCCTTTGTAAGAGTTGCCATGGTCACGGTGTCTTTTCACGGCAACAGGACACTGACACAGATTCATCTGCAGGCTAAGGAGGCTGGACGGAGGATGTTTAATTTGATGCCTAGGGAGGAGCAACAAGTCTACTGAGAAGGACAGGTGGATTCTGGGGCAGTTTATGGATCGGAGACATTCTGACAGGAGAAAATGGACAAAGTCTCTTCCATGAGGGCTGAACAGTAGGTGAGTGTTCCCTAAGACAGCTACTGCCAGGGTGGTATATAACTAACTGGCTAAACCTAACCCATTGATTAAAATAAAAGACAGCGGGGGTGGGGTGGTAGTGGTAGTGGTGGTGGTGGTGGTAGTGGTGGTAGTGCACGCCTTCAAACCCAGTACTTGGAAGGTGGAGGCAGGAGGATCTCTGTCAGTTTGAGGTTAGCCTGATCTACAGAGTGAGTTTCAGCTAGAGCCATTACATAGAGAAACCCTGCTTGAAAAAACAACAAAAACAAAAAGAAAAAAAGGGAAAAGACTATCTATCTATCTATCTATCTATCTATCTATCTATCTATCTATCTATCTATCTATCTATCTATCTATCTATCTATCTATCTATCTGACAGGGTCACATTATGCAGCCCTGGCTGGCCTGGAACTTGTTATGTAGATCAGGCTGGCATTGAACTCACAGAGTTCAGCCTGCCTCTGCCTCCAGAGTACTGGGATTAAAGGTATGCAGTGCTGTGCCTAGCTTTAAGACTTTAAAATTTTTATTTATGTGCACTGTGTGTGTGAGTGTGTGGGCAACTCCATACTAGAAGAGGGAGTCTCATCCCCTGGAGTGGGAGTTCAGACAGTTGTGAGTGGGGAACCAAAGTTGGGTTCTGGGCAAAAACAATAAGTGCTCTTAATGGCTGAACCATCTTTCCATCCCCTAATAGTTTCACAAAAGAAGGATTACTTTGAAATATTTAAGCTTTGTAAGCACACATTATATTGATGAGCTTTCCAAGGCAGAATTGCAGAGTCTGGCTTTGATCCTGTTTTTGCTGTGTGATGGGGTCAGAATCCAGGATGCCCACATACCAGGCAAATCCTGTACCTCTGAGCGACAGGGTCTTGCTATGTAACACGGTAGCCTCAAAATCACAACAATCCTCCTGTCTCAGTGCCCCAAGTGCTACGATTTCAGTGTGTGTCACCATGCCTGACTTATGCTTTCACTCTAGTATTTATTTACTTAGGTAGGGTCCATTTGCAGGTAGCCCAGGCTGCCCAGTTCACAAGCCTCCTTTTAGCCTACCAAGTACTAGGATTATAGAACTACATGGCCATGCTTGGTCTTATTCTTACTTTTCAGCTGGTATAAGAAAACATAAAAGCTGTATTATCAATGGGGTAACCATACGTGTACACTTGTGTAATTTTTAAGTCAGGTACAATATCTACCTCCTCAAACCCTTTCATCTTCAAATATATTAAGTATGGATTGCCCTTTCAAAACATTGTTTTAAGACGTGTATCAGTGTTTTGCCTGCATGTATGTCTGTGCACCATGTGTACGCAGAGGCCAGGAAAGGGCAGTGGCTCCCACTTGCTTTGGAGACCAGAATGGCCTCAAGCTCCCAGAGATCCGCCTGCCTCTGCCTCCCGAGTGCTGGGATTAAAGGTGTGTGCCACCACCGCCTGGCACAGCCAGTGCTCTTAAAGGCTTAGCCATCTCTTTAGCCTCCAAATACATATTTCTTAGGCCTCCATTTCGTATCACCACAGCTCACAGCTTTATTCTCTCATTTAATAACATCACAGTGAGCCCTCAACCCTATCCTGGTCTATGGATTTTTGTTTTTCAAGATGAGGTTTCTCTGTATAGCCTTGGCTGTCCTGGAACTCACTCTGTAGCCCAGGCTGGCCTTGAACTCAGAGATCCGCTTGGCTCTGCCTCCCAAGTGCTGGATTAAAGGTGTGCACCACCACTGCCCAGCTTATGCATTTTGCTATATGAACACACTACTGTTTGCAATCAACACTCTTCTCTTTCCCTGGGCTCTTCCTGTTCTTCAAGTGTTACAAACAGGGCCTCAGTGAACAGCCTGTGCTACTTTTCTTCCCATTTGTTCCAGTGTATTGTTAAGATGAATCCAGGCTCACAGGGAGAATACAAATATAATTTTGCTAAACATGGTTAAATTCCCTCAGTAATGGCACATGAATACACATGACGCACGCACGCACGCACGCATGCACGCGCTCATACATACATACACACACACACACACACACACACACACACACACACACCCTGTGGTGATGGAAGTTTGCCACAGTCTCACCGCTCAGCACACTGTCAGGCATTTAGGGTTCTGACCAGCTGCTGAACTAATACCTCAGTGTGGGTAATTTCTACACTTTCTTACATGAGTCATTTTACATCCTCCAACCCTGCTTTTTTTTTCTGTTGAGACAGGGTCTCTAGTTGGTGAT